CCAAACTAAAGAGACAGTGGAAGCCGCAATCCGTAACCGAAGTCTCCAATCAAGAGACTGACACATCTGGGGGGAGTGACCGGCTACCGAACCTAAATGGGAGCAGTCCCGGTCCAGCTCCCCTATTGATACATATTGGGAGGCTACTGAACGCCTTAATTTTTTCATTTGATCGCCTTAAAAAACTTTAAAAAGACTATTTTACCCTCGCATATTTGTTTTTATTTTTTAAAAAGGAGAAGGGGCGATGCATTTTTGCGCCAGCCTTTCACAGCTGGCGTAGGAGAAACACGTCACTCTTTCACGAGTGGCGTGTACTTTTCTCGCCACCCTTCTTGGGGAGGCGAGCAATTTTTGTGTCCCTGAAAAGGGGTGGCGCCATCCCCCCCTCCCGGTTTGGCGAGCAAACCGCTCGCCAAACAGATTGGGTGGTGGTCCAACCGGCCGCCACCCTTTTTTAATTTATTTTTTAAAATTTATTTATTTATTTAATTCTTTATTTTATTTATTTATTTATTTAAGTATATTTATTTATTTATTTGGCGGTTAAATAAATAATTTTTTAACTTAAATATTTGGAGAATGTTGCTTAATTTTACATAGTAAATTTATTATTTAATTATTTAGAATTTTTTAAATTTAAATTAAAAAAATTAACATTTAATAACAACTAAAACTTATGAATTTACTTCTAAAAAAATTACTTATAAATAACTAATAAAAATACACTAATTATTTATATATTAATGAAAAATTATCATTTACTACCAACTAAAAAATTATCATTCTCTAAATATTTAAATTTAAATAATATTTATTTATCATCGGTGCGTCTAGACGTCCGGAGAATTTGTTTTGAAAAAATTTAAGCTAAAAAATATGAAATATAAAATACGTTGAAATTTCATATTTTTATATTTCATATTTATAATAAAATAAATATAAAATACGTTGAAATTTCTTAGGATAATGGCTCGTTAAAACCTTTACTGGAAAAAGCACGGTGGAAGCCATGTCATCCAGAATTTGAAACCCCTCCTTATGCTATTTATTTATGTAATTGTAGACTTGTTTGGAGATAACATTTTCATCAGGAAATTGTGTCTATATCGCTCGTAAAATGTAAAATGTGAACTGCCTTAGTCCCAACTTTAGAATACTCCTCAATGGGCTCTCTTACTTCTGCGCTCAGTCCGCTCCTAACCCGAGGCGGATCTGTCAAAGAATGGTTGTGCATTCCCCATGGACCGGGATATACATGAATCGTCCACTTATCACATATTTTGTAGACAGTAATACAAAATTGACATCCAGTCATCTGTGTCTTTGTATTGGGTCGGGCTCGCATGGTTTCGTCCACCTGTTGATCTTGGTACCGGCCTCCTTTATGAAAAAGGAGTATAGTATGACTATCCTTATGCGAGAATATACTTAACTTCATGTTGTATATATTTGCAATACCCTTCGCATATGCAATAGCGTCAGGCCTTTCAGCAAAAGTCTCGTTTGTAGCAAAAGCCGAACTGTAAATGGTGACATCCCCCTGATCAAACCTATCATGCACACATTAAAAACGAATTATAACATAACTTAAATTTATTATAATAATATTAAACCACAAATAATTCATTATAAACAAAAAGATAATATATAATCTAATATAATGATGTTATACTTTAAAGATAATTAATTAACATAATATATACTAATAAAAAACTAAATACATTATTAACAAAAACTTACCATTTTAATATAACAACTATAACTTATGAACATACTACCTAATTAACCAATTCTTTCTAAACTAACAACAAATTAAACACATATTTAACCAAAAAAATTATTTCATACGAATATATTACGTAATTAACATAATTTTAAACATATAACAAACTAAATACATAATTAATCAAAAATTTACCTATTTAATATAACAATCATAACTTATAAACATAATACGTAGTTAGAAAACATTCTCTAAATATTTAGGTGAAACATTATTTATTTACCAATACCATAAACCCTAAATATTAAGATAAATTATCTATTTAACTACCAATTAACATATGTTTTTTAAACAAATATTAAACTACCAAACAAATACTCAAATAAAATAACTAAATAAATTAATTAAATTAAGTACATGAATTAAATAAATTCAATAAATACATGAATTAAATAAATAAATTTAATTAAATACATTAAAAAAATAATTAAAAAATTAAATTAAAAATAAAATGGGTGGCGCACAAAACAGCGCCAGGCATCGAACATTTGCTCGCCAACCCGAACAAAGGTGGCGCCCAAAACGGACGCCACACCTTCGCCTCTGGCGAAGGTACAGCGAGGCGAGATTATTCCACGCCACTTCGTAAAGGGGTGGCGTGTTTTTCCTGCATTAGTCTTTCGTCTTCCTTTTTTTAAAAATAAAAAAATAAAAATTAAGAGTAAAATTATCTTTTTACATTTTTTCTAAAACGTTTAAAGGAAAAAATTAGGACACTCAGTCACAAGATATGATTAAAGGAAGTGACTAAAGTTCATCGACTGGATAATTCAGTCGTACATTAATTACCGTTAGATGATCATGAGCAATAACAATAATTAGATTTTCAATAAGGTGTTTCAGAAGAAGATACATTCAGTCACATAGGTTAATATCTATAGATTCGCTAACAGTAAACCGTTTATCAAGGAAAAAAATGTTTTATTTTGATAAATAACAATTATTTTACCGACCTCAAGAACATGCTTTTCTCCATAAATTTATTTTAGAAACTGGTCAAATCATTTTTGTTTTGAAACTCTAACAATGATCTCTCATGCTGATGTCAACGAACAAAGATTCTGCAAAATATGTCTTTTCTATGATTTAGCAAACCCATCAAAAGAAAAAAAAATGATTGGTTACAAAAATTATCTTCATGTGGAGAAAGAAAAAAGAACTCGGCAACAGTGGTACAAAGGAAATCCCTTTACTGTCAGTTTTCCACCAATATTAACCAAATTCCATTAGCATCGATGTTTGGAAAAAAAAAATTCAAGAGTTATTCTTTCAATACCTTTGACTTATAAATCTAACTTGAAATAATATACAGTAAAACGTCGTTAAATTAATAATCTATAAATTAATAATTACTAATAATTAATAATTTCTTCTGGGATCAGTACAAAAAGTGAAGAAAATCGATAAAATGATAAGATAATAATGTTTCCAAAAATCTCCTATATAACTATAGGTCTCAATTATAGTATAAATTAATGAATACCCTAAGAGCAAAAAAAAATAACAATCATAACTATAAATTTAGTATAATATGAACTCTTGATACTTTTCTTTTAATCTCTAGAGGTGGTATGAACTAAGTATGGATATTTAGTATTACGAAAAGATTTAACAATTGACTAACTCGAATGTAAAGACAATTGCAAATTAAATAATTTAGTGAGGGTTCTTTTTTCTCATAGAAATTCTTTGATTAATTTATTAATTTATCCATTATTTAATATCTAAATTAATAAAATTTTGATAGTCTTTGATTAATAATTTATTAATTTATCGATTATTTAATAATTATCTAAATTAATAAAATTTTGATAGTATGGATTAATAGTGTTGGGACTATCAAAATTTTATTAATTTAGATAATTATTAAATAATCTATAAATTAATAAAATATTAATCAAAGAATTTCTATGAGAAAAAAGAACTAGTCTATAAATTAATAGTGTTGGGACTATCAAATTTTATTAATTTAGATAATTATTAAATAATCTATAAATTAAGAAATTATTAATCAAAGAATTTCTATGAGAAAAAAGAACCGTCACTAGATTACATAGTTTGCAATTGTAAAGTACAAATCAATCAAGCATTAAAACTTTTCGGAATACAAAACATCCACACGTAGTTCAAATCATCCTTAGGGACTAAAAAACAAGTATTAATAGTTCATAATTACTGAATATTTATAGTTATTATAATTATTTTCTTAAATTTATGGTATTTGTTAATTTATAGTATTGTTGGTACCTATAAAAATATAAGAGATTATTATCTTATCATTTTATTGATTTTTTTTTAATTTTTTTTACTAGTCCCAAGTTAGGACTAGAAAAAATTATTAATTGTTAGAAATTATTAATTTATAGATTATTAATTTACCGATGTTATACTGTATACTTTTTTTTTTATGCAGAAAACATCATGCAGTTAAATTGTCGAGAACAAGGGAAGTGAATATTTTTGTTTTTCTTTTTCTCACTTTTTCTTTCATTTTAATAAAAGAATTGATTTATCTGAATTCTTAATTTTTCCACTTGGTTTATTTTTAAAAATGTGTCTTTTTTTTTAAATTTATACAGATTATAATACAACCTGTGTTCATACTAGTTTCAATTCATTTTATTTCACTTTTAGCATATCCAAATGTTATTGATGACAAATTAAAATGCTACACATCGTGTTTTTGGTCTACTTTCACTCCTTCTTAATTCTATAATTTTTATCTTCCTAATCGGAACTTCCATTCCGTATTTAGGTTTTTTCAGTCTACTTTCACTCTTTCTTAATTTGAATTCTTAATTCTATAATTTCTATCTTCCTACTCAGAATTTCCACCGGTCTCTAACATGTCGAAATCACCTTACGCGATTTTTTTTTTCTTTTCATTTTCTCATTTATCAAATTTATCCTTACTCTTTTTTTAATATATTATTTTTCGACTTCTTTAATGATTAGAAACAAATTAGTAAATTAGGGCCAAAAAAAATTGTCAGTTTTATTGAAAAAGTTTTTTTTTTTTTTGTTTTTTAAAAAAACACACCAAAGGTGGGCACGTTCTCCTCCTAGAATACGGTGCACTGCAGATAACACATGGAAAGACGGAGGACGTGTATTTTTCTCGATGAAGATTCAAGACATACATACTACTAGTACTAAAGAATTTTTTAATTACTTTTATTCTTCCAAGGAAAACTCAAACAAATAAACAACTATACAAACAGACGTTTATAAGTGATGATAGTAGTGGTATGAATTATGAACAATGGAAACTTGAAACTAGCTAGATAGGTGCTTATTTTTTGGGGTTTTCCCTCTGCAGCATTATCACTTTGCAGATTATCAACCATTTTCTTTGCCTAAAGGTTTGTACTGTTTCAGGAATTCGCTAATAGATAAGCCTCTTTGTTTCTAGTAAGGTTGTATACTGTTTATACTTTGTCTCTTGTGCCCTCTTAATCATCAGTAGATTTCATTATTTTTTTCTAGGTTCATTTTTGCTTCTGTGTTGTTAAATAATACTCATGGATTGCTAATTGTTTATTGATATTTTGGGTAATTAATAAAGAAGAAGAAGAAGAAGAAGAAGAAGAAGAAGAGATAGGTGATGGCCAGACTTCATCTGTTAAGTTTGTGTGTTATTGGGGTAGGATTGCTTTATGAATCAACTACTTTCCAGTTAGCTTCTTCAGCGGAAGAAGATGATGATCAATTATTTGGTGATAAGTATCAAATAAAGGAGTTCAACCGGGGCAGTTTTCCTCCAGGTTTCGTGTTTGGTTCAGCATCTTCTGCTTATCAGGTGTGTGTGAATTTTTATTCCTATAGATTTGAGTTGTTCTTTGAAAATCTCTAGCTTTTGAATTTAAAATGATATGGTTGGTGATGCTATTACATCAATTGTTGAGTTTATATGTAAATTGAACATGTTGGGCCCAGTGAATATACCAAATGCAATGTTTTGATTTTGCCACAACTTTACATAACATAGATGAGATAAGATTAGTAAAGAACGAATCAGGGAAAAAAGAAAATATATATATATATATATATGCAAAAAATTACAAGAGGTACACTAGAAAGGGAAAAAAGAAAATATATATATATATATATATATATATATGCAAAAAATTACAAGAGGTACACTAGAAATTTTGTCCGGATGTGTGCTTAAGAAACTACAATCATTTACTCAAGTTAAAGGGAAAAGAAGATGGTACTATAAGAAAACCTTAAAACAGCTACTTTACAGGAAATCTAATATGTGCTTAAGATACTGCAATCACTTACTCTAAGTTAAAGGGAAAAGAAAATGGAGTTTAAAGCCACTTTATAGGAAATCTAAAATGGCGATATTATGATCCATTTTATAATAAATCCTACCTAGTGAGACAGGACATTTGTTTTTGCATTTAAGATGTTTGGGACTTGAGTGTAGGTTGAAGGTGCATGGAACTCAGATGGAAAAGGCCCCAGCAATTGGGATGTATTTACACACACCAAACCAGGTTAATATAGTTATGATTATTTTTTAAATACCGTCTATGTTGTAAAGAATAATCCTGTCATTTTACTTTGGAAAATGATAGATATGATACAAGATCGCAAATCTGGTGATGTAGCTGCAGATTCCTACCATCTGTACAAGGTATACTTGTCACAATGCATGATCAGTAAAAGTTATTCAATGTCTTGTGATTGATTAAAGCAGTCTCACTAAAAAATATGGTAAAAAGAAACACTCCTTCATCTTATTTTAATAATATACTTTACTACAAAAAGTATAACAAATCGACTTTTAAAATGAGATAACAAAGGGCTTACAAAATAGTCAACCAAAAACCTTGTTCACGGAGATGTGAAATACACAATGTGCTTTATCAAATAGAAATACACCATGTGCATATTGGCTTATTTTCATTTGATTCATGTCACACGTGTTACTGGATCATTTCACAGATAATTTACTATCAATGATTTCTTAAAAATTTAGAAGCACATAAAGAAGGAATAGTTCGAATTTATCTTTTTGCAATCAAATTCTCAGGAAATAGTGCAGTAACCTTTTTCTTTTTCCCATTTTCAAAGCCGATTAACTTAAATGTTCTCTGTAAAAACAGGAAGATGTTGCCCTATTGAAGAAAATGAACATGGATGCATATCGCTTCTCTATTTCTTGGACAAGATTATTACCACGTAAGGCTTCTATTTTCATTCTTTTTGAAATTATAGTTGCCAAAAAAATATATATTGTAGTTACAATATAACAATTACAGGTGGAAGGATCTCTGGAGGCATTAATGAAAGAGGGATTGAGTACTACAACAAACTTATTGATCATCTTATTGCAAATGGCAAGTCCTTTCAACTCATCCGAACATATTGTTTAATTAAGTTATCCTTTTTTTGTTCTTTTCCTCAAGAAAATTGTTTGGGTTTCAAATGCAGGGTTAAAGCCCGTCGTCACTCTTTTCCACTGGGATACTCCTCAATCATTGGAAGATGAATATGGTGGTTTTTTGGGACAGAAGATTATGTAAGTTAATTACCAAAAATTTTTTTAAAATAGATACTTCTAATGTCTAAAGAAGTTGCTATAATCAAATGTTAGTGATTAATTAGCACAAGCTATTCGGAGTCATGTAGAGTGTAGACTAATTATCGATTAAGCTTCAAAACCACTATGCAGAGATGATTTTCGTGAATATGCAAATCTTTGCTTTCAAAGATATGGGGACCGTGTTAAAGACTGGATTACTCTCAACGAACCATTCAGTTATGCTGTGGGCGGTTATGATTCGGGATATTCACCTCCAAATCATTGTTCTGTTTGGAAAAATCAGAACTGTAAAGGAGGAGATTCTGGAACTGAACCTTATAGAGTGATGCACAATATGATTCTTGCTCATGCTAACGCTGTAAAGGTTTACAAAACAAAATATCAGGTAAACTATTAATTTATTTTCTCACTTTTATTTTGTGAATTACTTGGACGAAATTTGAACCGTAACTGAAAAGAAACTGGTGATGGTGATTATTAGTTATTATGCTGATGGAAAGACAGTGATCTTTTTTTTTTCATTTAATTTAATTTTTCCTTTTTTTTTTTTCTGGGATTAAGGCTCATCAAAAAGGAAAAGTAGGGATGTCCATTGTTTCTGGTTGGGCGGTGCCCTTCTCTAACTCACTTGCAGATAGAAATGCTACTTATCGTGCCCTAGATTTCCAGATTGGATGGTAAGTGTGTCATAAATTTCTTTTCCATTTGTTCATTTGTGGTCTCTATAACAGGATTAATTTGCTGCTTGTCAAATATGTGCTTTTTCTGTCCCCTTTATTGATCTAAAACAGAACAATCAATTGGACCTTTAAAAGATTTGGATGCATGAGGGTGTGTGACATGCCCAGTACAAATTGTAATTGCCTGCAGGAACTTGTGGCCATTGGTTTATGGTGAATATCCAAACTCAATGCAAATGCTAGTTGGAAAACGCCTTCCGAAATTCACGAAGGAAGAATCAGATATAGTGAAAGGGTCATTCGACTTTGTTGGCCTAAATTACTACACTGCTAATTATGTCAAGGGTAGCACCAATCACAACTCCAACACAAATGCTAGCTTTTCCACAGATGCTCGTGCTGATTCCTTAGGTACTTCGCTAATTCATTTACTAAAATTAATGTTTAAACTCCAAGTTTTGAATTCATCCCTTTAAGTACAGAAGGGTTCAATTTTGTTCTTCATGTTGATAATTTACATTTGGTTGGTCTGCCGGATAATTCTGTTCTGAATATAGGACAATTTTGATGATCACATGTGATGGACTTCTCAGATATCATTAGTAAACCGAATGATTAGAAAAAGAGAGGAAGGAATAAGAAGAAGAAAGACGCGGAATATCCTAGTCTTTAACGTGAATCATTCGCGATCATTCTGATTGTCTCATAATTAGAACTAAATCCTTAGCTGGGGTATTAAAGTGGAGGACAATTGAGGTGATTGATCCTAATTTTTTAATGTCTTTGCTTTGTGGCACAGTTGAGCGCCAGGGAAAGCTCATAGGACCAGAGGTTCGGAGACCAGCTACTCATTGTCTAAAATAAAAGGAATTTAAGGTGTTAAATTGCAATTGCTTATCAAAGTATTTTACATATTTTGCAGGCTGGTTCAAGTTGGCTCCATTTCTACCCTAGAGGACTACGAGATATGTTATTATATGTCAAGCATAAATTTAACAATCCTGTAATTTACATAACAGAGAATGGTAATCAAATAATTAATCCACTTTTATATTATCATTTGGAAAGTATAATTCAAAAATTACAGAATAATTATATTAGAACAATCATTTCGGGATATAGGGAGTAATTAACTTAACAGTTTTTATGCTAACAATGATATTTATTTCAGGTGTTGATGAAAAAGATGACCCGAGTGTTCCACTGGAAACAGCCCTCAGGGACTACTCCAGAATAAAGTACTACTATTGGCATCTCAAGTATCTTCACATTGCCATTCGGTAAGGATAAACATTTCCAATCTCACTAGATTATGACAGAGGAAATGAAGCGAAATAAAGTAGTAATAAATTTTAATTTGAATTAAAAATTCGTTATATTAACAGTTAAGTTTTCTTTCCCTTCCTGACACAGTATTAAGACCAAGCCCCTGGCTTATTACCCTAGGTCGGAACAAAATGGTGTCAAATTTTTGGAATTGAAGTAAATAATGTGATAGCGCATAGCGGTGCCATGTTTTATGCTAGTCTTTAGATTATAATATCTTTTGTCTCAAAATAATTGTTCTATTTGTTGTACTAAAATAGTATAATAAACGGGACAATCACGTTGAAATAAGTAGCACAAACTTCGTGGGATCCAATCTATTATATGCGAAATTGTACCATTTCCTCTGTTTCAAGAAAAATGAATTAAAACAGAAAATCAAAGTGAATAATTTTTCTTGGATGGACGGGTTATTATTTGAAATTAAATCCTTGCAGGGAGGGAGTTAAAGTGAAAGGATACTTTGGTTGGGCAGCGTTGGACAACTTTGAATGGAACAGTGGATATACTGTTCGATTTGGGCTGAATTATGTGGACTACAGAAATGGAAACAAGAGATACCCAAAGCTCTCAGCAAGATGGTTCAGTAGATTCTTGTCTCGACCCACGATCCACGAACCACACCATTAAGGAAACCCTTATGAGCTTGAACTTTCTCCTTTTCTGATTAATTTGTCATTATCAGTGAACTCATTTAAAAAAAGAAAAAACTGTTATTGTACTTTTTCATCTCAATTTTAGTACAACTTAGTCTTGGTAGCTGTTAATTGATTCGGCAGTGTCCATGAAAATTTTAAACCATGGATGAATCAACTATGAACCTTTTTGTTAACATTTCTCTCTTCACAGCCACCTATTGGATAACAGTTTCTGAGCCTCTGTATGATACTTTGGACCGATGCTTTGGGATAGAATCCATTTCAATATGCAAAGGAGTGATGATAAAGCCCATATATCGGGTGAAATTCTAATGTAATTGTTGGCTTGGTATGTTTAATTTTAGACTTGTTCCTCCAATTTTTTTTTTTTTTCCCCACAATCCAAATTCAATCCAGATTTGCTAAAAATCAACACTGTCCTTGTATTCTGCTGCTTAATCGACAACAGAGAGAAGGCGAAACTTCGAAGAGTGGTAGTTACTTGATTATTATTTGAAAAAAGGAAGTAAATTGAGAGGCTACAAATCGAAAAAAAAAGGAAAGAAGAAACGACAATAGGTAGAGAGAGAAAATCTAATTGTTAATCTCTCTAGTCTGTAAAATAAGATATTTTAATTGTTCTAAATTTCATTAATTATGCGCTTTTTATTAAAAAAAAAAACCTTAAAAGTATATTTTTACCTTTGTTACGATTCTTTTAATTATTAGAAAATATTATAATTAAAAAAATTACATATTAAGTCAAATTTAGGGAGCTTTATATGGAGGACCGGATGGCGTATTAGAATTGATGCAAAGAAAATCATTTTCGGGATAAAGTCGAGACTCGAGAGTCCTCTAATTTAACGAGGTAAGTAATTCCTTAATTTTGGCCAAACGAAGAACCCAGCGTGTTAATTGTCTTCCCCTTTCTGGTCTGTGTGGACTTTTTTTGGTGGGCAAAATCCACTATGTCAATAATTAACCGAAGACAAGAATGTATCTTGTTGCTCAACTTAGTTACTACGGCAATAAGCAACATTCAAATAATCTAGCAAAGACGGCGCAATATTTTATAACTTGCATTTCGGCTCCCATATCGGCATTACATTTTGTTTTCCCTGTACAGTATAATTTTTTCGATACAAAAGTTGAGGCAAAAGTCTAATAACTAAACAACTATATTACTCCGATAAATTACTCCTATGATATCATGTTCTAATTAAAAGTGATGTTTGGGGGAGTCCGGAGGAACCTGTAGTTGAAGTAGATCACTTGGACAATGAACTGCTAGTGATACTAGATAATCAGCTACAAAATTCATCTCTAAAAACTCATAGTTCACCTCAAATTCTTAATCTCGATGTAACAAATCTCGAATTCCATGTCTTCATTCAACATCCTCCCGATCCATCACAAAACCTCATGCACAATATTCCCTTTATAATTTTAGATACATGTATCTGAAACTACACTAAGGTTGAAAGCCGTATTATTATATGTAGTTAACTAGTATTATGCCCGCACATTGTGCAGATTTTAAAATATTTTAGAGTGATGTTCAAGTACTATTACTTTCCTGTGAAAAATGTCATATGATTTTTTGCTGTCCTTTTTTTTTTTGTATATTATGCACTAGGTGTCCGAAATCAAGAGTGTCATAGGTTTGTGTGTGTGTGTGTGTGTGTATTATGTACCCGGTGTTCGAAATCATTGCTCCGACTAATTTAGATTCAAATCGAGTAGGTCCCTTTAGGAAAATAAATCTCTACCAATAATCACTACTACATACCCATGCTCAGGTTTAATCTGAAATCATAGTTAAGTTGGTCCAATGCCTTTATCACTTTGACCAACTGCTTTTTGGTAATATGAATTCCTAAATACAAATTACTATGAACAACAGTCTAATCTGCTATTTTTTAGCAATATTAGTATATCAAAGTTTTTTTTTCTAAATACAAATTCATTTGATCAACTGTCTAATCTGCTGTTTGTTTAGGGATATTAGTATATCAAAATTATTTTCAACAATGAAAATCAAATAATGTATTAAAAATACAATAATTGAATTGCATATATTCTTTATTGTTGGAATTGAAGGAAATATTATAGATCTTGATTCTGTTGTTTTCAGTAAATCAGTCAAAACAATCAATTTAATCACCATTTTTACCTCAAAGTCAAAAATTTAAGAAACAATTCGATCTTTCCAAGAAAAAAAATACTTAATTTCTAGCATAATTACAACTAAAAAAATATTTTAACCTTGAGAATATCGTTATCGTAAAAGCATGGGGACACTACAAAAAAAACAATTTTGGCATTTTTTTAACTACATTAGGTACTTTATAAATTCCAATATTATGACCCGTAAGTATATAATATTTTGATGGAAAAATCTCAAAAGTTTGTAAAAGACCAGACTATATATGGAACTCAAATGAGATTTGACAAAAAATAAATATCATAAAAATCAAATATTGAATCCTTTAAGAGGTTGATTGGTATTTATTAGTTTATAGATATGTTTAGGCATGAAGCAAATCGAAAACAAACTCCAACAAATGTAAATAAAACACAACAATAGAAAAAATATATATAATTTTAAAAAAACTAATAAATCATTATAAAATACATATCCATATCTTTACATCAAACTTTTTTTCCTTAGTTATGAGTGATTCTTGAGTATTTCAGTCATTTGTCATTATGATGCCACACTTCTCTCGTAAAACAAAGTACATAGATACTCATAAACTTAAAGTAAATATATTTAGTTAATTAATGTCTCAAACAAAGTATATATTTACCTTCAAACTCTAGAGTATGAGCAATTTTATTTAAAAATTTTTTTGAAAAAGGGCATGGCATTTACTTATTAGTCATTATTATATATATATGTAATGAATTTTAATAATTTTAATCTTCCTAATGACTATTTTATCCTTTTTCTTGAACAAAACCACTGACGGCCGCATCATCTTTCTTTCATTGTGCTAATTTTTTCCATGATTCCTTGAACACTATCTTCTTCACAAACGGTAACCTTAAGTGCAGAATTGCAGCCCTTTGTCCATGAATCATTAATGAAATTGCACATGATTTCATCATCATTAGGAATATCCATAGCTTTCAATACATCTTTACCTCCGTGTGCTTATCGATTTTAGTTCTTTTGACTATACTTTCTGAGTCATGTTATATCAAAATTCCTTGGAAAATAAAAATAGATTCCATCATATCAAATTTTCTCCAAACAATATTACATTATTTTTTTTAGCCAAACTAATTCCCATCATGTTGATAAAATTATAGTTGCTACTTTGAACTTGCCCCTTCAAAATCTAGGAAAGTTGTCATTGATGATGAAACTGATGATAATGGAGAAATGAAACTTGATGAGAAGCAATTTGAAAACATGCTTAATTGGATCAAAATTAATCTCTACATCTGGATTTTGTAATGAATTCGTAAATTCGTCGCTAATGTCATCTCAAGCTAAATCCAAAAAATGATTCAAAGCAAGTAGAGACTCATGAACAAAGGTGACTCGGGTTTGGGATACTGGCGGCTCTGAGGTAATCAGAAATGAAACTTTTTAATGGTCAAATGTTAGGACTTAGGGGTAACAAAAAGGATATAACCTTAATTTGTAGTATATTTGGCTCATTTAGAGCGAGATTGATACTTACTATTTTTTCACTCAATCCATGAAAATTTTATAAAATCATCGGTGCAAAAACATACTAAAATGAGGCCCCCATGATCATTTAAAAATAAAAATTGACCATTTACACTAATAAATATTGCCAATGACAGACTATATATAGAAATAGTCCTTAAAATAAAAAATATAATGTATGTTCAAAAATAATATCTCCCCTCCAAAAAATAAAAGATATGTTCAGTAGTAGTAAATTTTTTCTTATAATTCTGCACCATAAACTATAAGATAAAATGATGAGTTGACAATTCAAAATAAAGTGAAAATTCGTGTAGATTTTCAATTGATGAACCTTTTGGGCACTGTTTTCACTGTTAATTACAAATCAGATTGAAGGTTGTCCACAAGCATCCACACCAGAATCAGCCAATGAACATTTTGTCAGCATAAGCATAATTATAAAAATCAATTTAAACAAGAGTGAATCATATTAAAAGTACAATTTACAATATCAATCGAAACTCATCTAACTCCGTTTTCAACTAAAAAACGAAAAATATACCTCGAAAAATACAACTTAATACAGAGAAAAGGTAGTGTGTACATTTCAAAGGAAAAGAAAATTGAGATGGAAGGGAAGGAGGGAAGGGAAAGAGATGGAGGATGCGAGGAGAAGGAAAGGAGATGAGGGAATGAGAACTTATCTTTTTATTATTATTTTTTTTTGGGAACTCATCTTTTTTTATTTTAAGAAATCTGAAAAATAATATTAACATACATTTAATTATCCAAACTTGATTTTGAATTATATTCATAATATAATTTTGGAATAGACAAAACCCCTCCCCCCGTTTTTTCCCGAATTATGTCTCAAAGACTAATTCCCTCAAATTTCTTCGTAAGGACAAAAACCATTCTTGATTGCCATAAACTTGTGGTCAATGGTCCATGGATATAACATGACTAAAAAATAAGGTAATTATAGTAATATTTTAAATAAAAAATTCAGAAATTAAATTTGTTATACTCCTGAACCTTCTTATAATTTTTGAAGAATAAGGAAAAAAAATCACAATGAACTATCTAATACAATATATGAAACTTTTAAAAATATAAAAAATAAAAAAAATAGTAAAAATTGCTCTAGAATTTGCACGTTTGTAAATGGTTAGAATCAGTACAAATTATCAAACTTCAAAAAAAAAAAAGGGGTACACAAGGGTTTATCACGCTTAGAAGTATGTGTGACCTTTAATAACTAATACATTGGATGAAAATTGGATTGTTTTAAAGAGAGTAGGAAGTGTGGAAGATGATTGTAAAATAGTAATTTTCAAAATTTATAGAGTAATTTTGTCATTTAACTTATAATATCCACTTAAATAGTCAAAGTTCACTAGCATAAGGGTGAAATTGTCTATTTGGACATAGTTCGGGAGACTTTTTGTTCTTTTAAAAGATGTGAAGGGGAGATCAGTTTTTAAGAAATAACTCGGGGGCTTTGTTCTTATCGCTATAATTATTTGGTAAATGATCTTTCTTTTTAATTATTAGAAAATATATCAAATGGAATCATATGAAATATAAAATCAACCTAAGTTTAATGTATCTAAATATAGTTTTGAATTGTATTCGTAATATAATTATTTGGTTACTGATTTAGTTTTCTGTTTTGGTAACTAATCTCTTTTTATTATTGGAAAATATATCAATAGAATGATCTGAAAAATAATATTAAGCCATGTTTAATGTATCCAAACTTGATTTCAAATTGGATTTGTAATATAATTTTTTGGTAAGTAATCAATTTTTATTTTGGTAACTAATCATTTTTTTTATTTTTGGAAAATATATCAAATAGAATAATTTTTTTGTAAGTAATCTATTTTTATTTTGGTAACTAATCACTTTTTTATTTTTGGAAAATATATCAACCTTCAATACAATTTCATTGTTCTTTCATTAATTACTTAAATTTTAATTTAATAATTTTACATATTTACTAATTAACTTTTAACTGTTTAGTGAATGATAGTTTTGGTAACGTCACGTGGCACCATAATCCTAAACTTACCCCCTGAATGACACCTGTCGATTAAAAACTCTCCTTTAATATATATAGGCAAATTATCCAGTATACCCGAGGGCACCGTGCCCCCCTCCTATTTTTTTGCACGAGTAGTCCTTATTGTACTTTTTTCTCAATCTTTTTATATTTTACACGTTTAGTCCCTGTGAGTTTTTTTCTCTCTCTTCCAAAAAAAACATCCCTAATCTTTAAACGAGCATATCTCCCAATCCGTGAAGAATTTGTGAACAAATTATATATGAAATTTATAGTACTCGTCGAGATCTATCCAACAAAATCCATAGTGAATATTTTTTCGGGCTTAAAAATCACTTAATTCTGATGGACAGAATAGGGGTGGATATCCAGTTTTACAAGATGGATAACCAACTTGTTCTAAATTGGTTATCCATCGTGTTCATGCTGATTATTCAATCGGTTTGAACTGGTTATCCATTTTGTTTCTACTGCTTATCCATTTGGTTATCCAACTTCTTAATTCAAAATAAGTTGGTTATCCATCTTCTTAAACTGGATATCCAATGCACTAATACTGGTTATCCAATGGACTTACATGCTTATCCAAATTATTTGTAATGGTTATCCACTGTGTTCATGTTGATTATCCAACTTGTTTGTACTGGATATCCACTGTGTTCATGCATATCCAACTCTAATATTTCAACGAGCATATCTCCCAATCCGTGAAGAATTTGTGAACGAATTATATATGAAATTTATAGTACTCGTCGAGATCTATCCAATGAAATCCACAGTGAACATTTTTTCAGCTTAAAAATGACTTAATTCTGACGGGCAGAATAGAGGTGGTTATCCATCTTCTTTCTTTTTTTGTTGAAGAGTGAATGTCAAACATATGATTGGATAACAAGTACGAACCGAATGGATAATCACTCCAAACCGGTTGGATAATCAGCATGAACACAACGGATAACCATTTTTCAAAGAAAAACGAAAAACGCATTTCTTCATTTTCTGCCCGTAAAATTTAAATGCATTTAAAGTTCAAAAAAAATATTCAACATGGATCTTATCGGATAGATCTCGTCGAGTACTATAAATTTTATATATAATTCGTGTTATAATTCTTTACGAATCATTAGATACAAGGAAAAGAATAATATGAATGTAAAATAAGTTGGTTATCCATCTTTTTAAACTGGATATCCAATATGTTCATACTGGTTATCCAACTTGTTTGTACTGGATATCCATCCATTTGGTTTGTATGCATATCCAACTCTAATCTTTCAACGAGCATATCTCCCAATCCGTGAAGAATTTGTGAACCAATTATATATGAAATTGATAGTACTCGTCGAGATCTATCCAACGAAATCCACAGTGAACATTTTTTCGGGCTTAAAAATGACTTAATTTCTGACGGGCAGAATAGAATAGAGGTGGTTATCCATCATCTTTTTTTTTTTTTGAAGAGTGAATGTCAAACATATGATTGGATAACAAGTACGAACATAATGGATAATCAGTCCAAACCGATTGGATAACCATTTTTCAAAGAAAAACGAAAAACGCATTTCTTCATTTTTGCCCGTAAAATTTAAATGCATTTAAAGTTCAAAAAAAAATATTCAACATGGATCTTATCGGATAGATCTCGTCGAGCACTATAAATTTCATATATAATTCGTGTTATAATTCTTTACGAATCAAACGATACAAGGAACACAACAATATGAATGTAAAATAAGTTGGTTATCCATCTTGATTATTTATGTTAATACTGTTTATCCAACTAATTAGTATTATTTATCCAACCTGTTTTTTTTTTTATTTTTTTAAAAAATAATAAACTAAGTTGGTTATCCAACTCGTTTGTATTGGTTATCCAATCATTGGTTTGTATTGGATTATCCAATGCGCTAATGCTGGTTATCCAATGAATTTACATGGTTATCCAAATTGTTTGAACTGGTTATCCACTGTGTTCATACTGGTTATCCAACTCGTGCACACTGGTTATCCAACTTACTGGATATCCAACTTATTCTGCCCAAAGAAATTTGATCATTTTTAAACTCAAAAAAAAATATTTGAAATAGATCTTGTTGAATAGATCTCGACGAGTACTATAATTTTCATGCATAACACGTTCTCTAATTCTTTACGGATTATGAGATATGGTCATTGAAAGATTAGAGATGTTTTTTTTTAGAAGAGAGAGAAACAATGACAGGGACTATACTTGTAAAATATAGAAAGATTGATGAGAAATACAATAAGGACTACTCGTGCAAAAAATAGGAGGGGGGGCACGGTGCCCCCGGGTATACTGGTTTGTATTGGATTATCCAATGCGCTAATGCTGGTTATCCAATGGATTTACATGGTTATCCAAATTGTTTGAACTGGCTATCCACTGTGTTCATATTGGTTATCCAACTTACTGGATATCCAACTTATTCTGCCCGAAGAAATTTGATCATTTTTAAACTCAAAAAAATATTCGAAATGGATCTTGTTGAATAGATCTCGACGAGTACTATAATTTTCATGCATAACACGTTCTCTAATTCTTTACGGATTATGAGATATGGTCATTGAAAGATTGGAGATATTTTTTAAAGGAGAGAGAAAAAAGTCACGGGTGACTAAACTCAGAAATATAGAAAGATTGAGAAAAAAGTACAATAAGGACTAAAAATGCAAAAAATAGGAGGGGGCACGGTGCTCCCGGGTATACTGGATACAGCCTCGTGTTTTTAATTGTCCTTTTTTTTCGATCTTTTCTTTTTATACAGATAAGTAACCCACCCGTGGATTGTGGAAGTATTTACTGTTAATATTTGAGGCCAAACCCATTGTACATGAATGCTATAAATTGATAATGACCGAACTCCACTAACGCACACTTTTTTGGAATTTAGGAATATGGCGCCTAATTCTTTGTTACGTTCCCATTTTAACTGCACCTCAGTTCTGGTAAAACCCCATAATTTTGTTCCAACATCCATGACCTGGACCGATGATTCTTTGCATCTGTATCAACATTAGCCGATAACTGTTACAGGAAACTCTTTGATTCGCGATTGTGTAATATCAAAATAATATTTTATTAATAAAATCATTATTTATATTATCTTTTTATATTGAACCCTGACTTTCTTTTTCTTAATACCACAGCCAGGCAAGCTCTATCTCTCGTACTCAAACAGTCACACTATTCGAAATGATTATTGTATTTGTTGTACTGTTTGAAAAAAAAGAGAAAAGAATTAATGTTGATAATGATTGTTGCTGACAATTAAGGTTGAAAATTTGAAATATTAAACATTAAAAAATGCGAGAAGGATTAGAAGGAACACTATATAAACGCGGAATCCCTTCACTACAATCCTCACAACAGCTACATCGGTTACTTCTGTCCTGTTATTTCAGTTAAGCATACAAGGAAGACCAATTTGAGTAGCCCAAAAAATGGCCATTTCAAGGCCAAAATTGCTTCTTGTAGTAGTTGCATGGGCAATATGTTTGATGGCTGCAAATGTGGCAGCTAATTATGAGCCTCATCCTTATGTATCTCCACCTCCACCATTGAACTCCGGTTACCCCAAGTCTCCACCTCCACCTAAATCATACAGCTCACCACCACCGCCGCCACCCTCTCCGCCACCGCCGCATTATTTCAATCCATCACCACCTACTCCATATGTTCACAAATCTTCACCTCCTCCTCTAGTATGGTTTCCTCCTCACACAAAAAATTCACCCCCACCGCCTCCAACACCATACGTCCACAAGTATCCACCACCGCCGCCACCGCCACCATCTCCGCCAACACCATATTACATGCACAAATCTCCTCCACCGCCACCATTCATAAACAAGCCTTTTCCATTTCCACTTCCATTTCCTCCTACCCAATACAAACACAAGTCACCACCACCACCTTCTCATGTTTACAAATCTACACCGCCGCCACCACTGGTGACGTATGCACCGGCTCCATCACCGGCTAGCGACGTAGACAAATCACCACCACCCACATCAACATCTCCCTCAACACCATCGTCATACTACAATCCTCAACCATCGTCTCCAACTCCGTCACCATCCATTTCACCTCTTCCTCCACCAGTTTCCGCGTATCCGCCACCAACTCCGGCACCATCTCCTCTCCCTCCACCTCCGTACAAAACACCTCCACAAGAAACTCCTCCGCCATCTACTCCTCCACCTCTTCACGAGTACAAATCACCTCCACCTCCGTCTACATCCCTGCCTCCGCCGTATCTCTACAAGTCTCCGCCGCCTCCATCTCCATCTCCTCCACCACCTTATTACCATCGTTAAGTTTCCTCCACCGGAAGACAACTAAACTTTCATCCATTTTCTGTGACGCGTATGCATGGCGTTTTACGTCATTTTACCTCATTTTATCATATACAAGGATTATATTTCATATTTTCGTTGGGAGAGCTGATGCTAAAGAAGAACGTGCGAAGATACAAAGAATGAGTCAGTCAGATTTGTTGAAGAATAAATGAAGCTAGAATCATATGTTTCTCATGCTTCATAATTGGTTTGATCATATTTTATTTTGCATTTTATGTACACTTATTATTATTACTGTTGTCGGTATTATTATTATTATTATTATTATTATTATTATGATTTTCCGGTTAAGAGTTACGGTTATTGTGTCAAGTCTTCTGGACAAGCTTATTTCAAAGCTAGTGTGCCACCGTTGATCATTGTTAGTTGCCTCGCATCATTATTTAATGAGAGTTTATATGAGACAATAAACTTAGTTAATCTCAATTTGGTCATACTACCTCCGTCCAAAAAAAAAATAGTCTATATTAAGTTTTAAATTTTATACTAAAAACAACACAAAACTCAAAATTCAATGTGGACTATTTTTGTGGGAGGTTAGGAGTATTTCACTTCATAATGTAACTCAAATAGACATATACACGTAATTGATCAAAGTTTTTTTTTTTTTTTGGAATAAAAAATGTATTCATTCCATTATGTAGAAAAGAAAGTACATGCTCCATACAGACAAAACACAAGTGTCTGGACAAAACAAGAGCTAGAACCACTTAAATCAAGCCAAGACACAATCTTGTCAAAGATACAATATAATCTATCAAGAAAAAACTGGACTAATGCACATCTTTGCAGCCCAAACTTTGTTCTTCTGAGTACTCTTTATCTTTTTGATCTTTGTCAAATTCAGACTCAAAGCGAACTTAATATTCTGCTCAATCTCAACCCCTCTAGGAGGTTCACTTCTAAATATAAGTCTATTTCTGGCTTCCCAAATGAAATAGACAGTTGATACAAAAGTGCTTCTAATAATGCTTGATGAAGCATGGATCTGTATGGTGCCTTAGGACGTGCAGCAATGATAATCTAGGCGACGGCGGACGGCATAAAACCTGCAAGACAGAGCCTCAGGTGTCTCCCGAGGGTAGACTCTGATGCTTAAGTCAATAAGAAAATAAAGAGAGTAGAGAGAAAAAGATGTGTATCGTGTGTAAAAGGTGTAGAAGATAGGTAGAAGATATGAATTATGAGAGAGGTCTTTATATAGAGGTGGTGTTACATGTTTTTTGAAACCCTAGCGGAATAGGTTAGGCGGTGCCTTAATCCCCAAGTAACCTAATCCTAGGCCCAATAGGCCTAGGGTTAATTTATGACTCGTCAAGTACCCCTAGCAAGCTATATTCTTGAGAGTTGATGAGAAGAATATGGGTTGCTATGAGTACGAGGCTGGAGTGTTGACGGCTTCTCGACCTCTGTAATGTTGCCCCAGTTCTCGAACATGATGTTCTTGCAAGATGAACAAAAGGGTGATGGTCGACAGAAGAAGGTCCTCGAGGGGACAAGGGTCGATGATGACGGGGTCCTTGGAAAGACAAAGGTCGACAAGGGGTGGTCCTCGGAAGGACAATGGTTGACAATGGAAGGTCTTTCCAAAGGACGATCTTCAGGAGGACAAAGGTCCGTGAGAAGATGGTTCTCAAATGGATGGCGATCATCAGGAGGACAAAGGTCTATGAAAAGACGGTCTCGATGAGGGACAATAGTCCGTGAGAGGACGGTCCTCGAATGGATGAGTAGTCGCTGGAGAAGGGTTCTCGAGAAGACAATGATCGGCAGAAAGAGGTCCTCGGAAGGACAATGGTCGATAGGTGGTGGTCTTCTCGAGGAACAAGGTGCATAAGGACTTCTAGAAGATTGAGCTTGAGTAGTTCAAACTTGTGGATCCTACCATAAAACTCGACAAAGATATTGCAATAATGATAAAGGAATTACATATAATAATAAGATGCTCATAAAGAATATCAATTCAGGCAGAGGATATTAGGATGATCCCTCAAATTCCTTGCCCCAAGGGTATGTCCTTGTTTGTGCCCCCGAGTACGTTTTCCTCGTTGAAGGGTGATAGGGTTTTACCGTGAGAGGATTGGTAACTTGAAGAACTCCTTTGATCGTACTCAAAAAGATATCGTGATATGATAATAATATGATAATGATATCAGATATTAAAGCATGAAAAGGTTTTAGAAGTACCTCCATCTCGTAATAAATTAATTACTCGAGAAGGTGTTACCTCGATTCAGAGAAGATATTATGAAAGTCGAGATACGTCTTCTCGAACACTTTGAATAGTAGTGTATTGCTCGAGGGATGCTTGCCCCTTCGAGGAGATGTATCTCTCGAAACTTCAATCCTCGAAATTGCCTCTTGCTTCGAATGACTTGAGAGCTTATATGGATTTGCACATCAAATCAACCCGATGATCATTGTAAAGCACCAATAAATTTCAGCTTCGTTTCAAGAAATTTATTTTGTTGTGAATACCAAACAAATCGGTCCCACTGGGCGTGCCATTTGACGAAGCATGGATCTGCACGGTGCCTTAGGACGGGCGACAATGATGATCTAGGCGGCGGCGGACGGCCTAAAACCTGCAAGACAGAAGCTCGGGTATCTCTCGAGGGTAGACTCTCCGATGCTTAAGTCAATAAGAGAATAAAGAGAGTAGAGAGAAAAGGATATGTATCGTGTGTAGAAGGTGTAGAAGATAGGTAGAAGATATAAATTATGGGAGAGGCACCACCTTTTTATATAGAGGTGGTGTTACATGTTTCCTGAAACCCTAACGGAATAGGTTTAGACAGTGGCTTAATCCCTAAGTAACCTAATCCTAGGCCCAATAGGCCTAGGGTTAATTTATTACTCATCAAGGCTATCAGCAACTGAGCTAGAGCCATAATGAGACATCATCCAAGATACCAAATCATTCTAAGGGATCAAAGGAGCAGAAACATGGACTAGATTCACAGCATGGTTAAAGAAATGACCTGAGAATAAGAACTCAAAAATAGATGGTCTCTGGATTCACTTTGCATACTACAAAAACCACAAGATGCGTTAATAGACTGATCAAATAGAGCCACCCTTTCATTAGTTTGAAGTCTACCAAGTATAGCCAGGCTATTAAACTGTGCTTTGGTAGTTGTGTTGCTAGCAAGTAATGTTGCTTGTCCACGTTGTGGTCCGACAATATAAATTCCTCCACCATCAGCAGAACTCACAATGTAATGGACCAAGAATTTGATCTATCCTTCCTTCACATCATTGCTTCGATCTGCGGGAAACAAAAAAGTGATATAAGAATCATATTTATTGTACTTTCCCTGTGCCAAAAAATAGTTCATATTGAGTTTTGATATTTGTACTATTTTTAGATAAATTTAAAAACTCGTCTCCGTCTTCAACTCAAGATGAGAGCGGACTATGTTTTTGGGAGTTAATGAGATGAAAGAAAACATTATATATAAGAGAAATGGCATGGTCAGATGATGAGATAGAATCGATAAAACTAATTTGACTCAACCTGTTTGGGTCCGTGAAAGCAAAATCTACGAAATCGGTGCCATTGTATTTGAGAATTCTGCCATCACTAACACCTACATATGGACCTTGATCAAGTTGATCATGGGCAGCTAGATCAGGGCCAAAAACTCCACGAGGAACATTGAATTTTTTGGAACTTTTGTGTTTAGGTCAGGAACTTGCAAAGCAAATTAGCGAGGAAGAAAAATAAGAAGGCCAAAAATAAGTAACATTGTAGTACGCAAATTTAGTTACAAAAAGAGATGATACATACTAAAGAAAACTCGGCACTCGGCATTATTTATAGGCAGCGGCCAATGCTGTCTTATATATGCATATAGTTTTTCTCAAATGTTTTTTTGAAATACCATCCCCACTAATTGGAAGAACACCATCATTGATTTATGAATGGGCAACTCAACATTCGTTTATTGGTTCAAGCCAAAAGCAAATAAATATGAAGAGTTGATCATCGCGGTGAAGATATACATATATGTCGATTCATGGAATTATCATCAAGCTCTAATCAATTACTTTATAATAACTCGTATATAAATTAAAGATTTAAATTATAATAAGACTTTGTTCTTTACGAAAGATTGTTGTCAAGATTATGGTTTTTTTTTTTACTAATTTTTGAATTATTCTATTAAATTTTTTTTATTTAAATCCTAGTCTAACTAGCTCTAGCGATGTGTTTTCTTTTTTCGTTCACAGGAAAAATAAGAAAATGGGGATGAACTTTTTCCTAACTTTTGTTCAGGTTAGGCGCCCTGACTTTTGCTCGGTTTACGCGAATTTTCACAATGCTCTCTAAATAAAGGTAGGGCAAAAGTAAACAAGGGGGACACGTTTTTCTCCCTTATTTATAGCTGATTAGGTAAATGATTGGGGATGGCAAAAAATTGGAAGCCAAACACTCATATTAAAAACAAAATTAGGTCATATACCCTGTCCAAACAAATAGGTTCCAGGAAATAATTGTTCGAGTAAAAAGTGTAAAATTTAGAATTGTGAAAAAATGGACAGAAACACCCAAACATAATATATAATCGAGGCCTAGTGTTAATTTGGTGTCGAAACAAAAAGAAAATGAAAGAAAAAAGATAAGTGAAACAAGCCAAAATTATGACGTTCAATTCATAAAATAGAAGAAATATGTACTGCCGACTACGGTCTTGTCAATGATACACATTATAAGGGTTAGGAGAAAAAAGTAAACGTGCAGAAAATAGTCTACAAATATAAGTACTAGAATATCTATCACGTAAAATCAAGTTCACTGAAATAGAATCCATAAACAGTTATTTATTTTTATGGAAAAAATGAGAAGAAATCATCTAAGCTATGCTACATCTGTGAAAGAATGGTTAAGAGATATGAAAAAAAAACGATGAAAAATAAAAGGTAAAATATTGAGAACTATTTTAGATGACCTAATCCATAACTATTTAAAATCCAATCGGAGACTGTAACACAATAAAAAATAAAAAAAATTCCATATGATATTTTCGCCGTTGAAACCATTGCCTTCCTCCAGTTGAATTTTTCTTGTCATTAGGACTTTTTTCTTTCTATATACTGAGGAGGCACAAGTGCCTAAAATTAATACAACAAGATTACATTTTAACTTGACTTTTCCGTAGAACAAATCGTCAACATACTATTACTACACCAAAAGAGTAAGTAGTCCACAAGTATTTTGTCTTCTTATACAGCTACTGCAACTCATAGACAAGTGTAATCCTATTTTGCCGAATTACTTCCACCTTTTCCAATTACAGGTGTAGATCTTATCATTCATCACCAACTTTGGTGTCAAGCTATATCTCACAAGTCCTTTCGAAGTCTTCTGATTCCACTTGTTTAACCCTTGTCAATTTGTGTTGTCATTAGGACTTTAACCGCCCAATTTGTGGTGTCCTAG